GCTAAGATGCAATATATTAATAGTTAGGCAACTGTTACCCAAAAGTTTAAAGAAAAAATATAAAGGGAAATTTTCCATGCTGGTGAGACGAACAGAGATTGTTTTATCAGTCATTTTGGTAGGAAAATAAAATACCTCCAGCCCTTATCTCTCCTCTGGAGAAGGCCTCCCTCCAACAATGCATGTCTAATTCAAAAGAGAACAAAGATGGAAAAAGGCCGTTTCAATGAGGCAGGAAATGTAACGTATGTGACCCTGCAGCTCTGATGGGAGTGCATCAACCTTCAATATTAATGACAGGGTTTGCGTGGCCACTCGTATGCTGTGCTGTGCTCTGCAGCTGAGAGAGAACACTGTTTTTCTATTACATGGGCTGGCACTTCTGTAAAGATCACCTGAGACCAACTGGACACATTTCCCTCCATTTCCGCCTCCGTCCTGCTTCGGTCTGTGTTGAGTGAAGTGGAATCCAAGCACTAATAGCTACAGTGTGCAGATGAGACGACGTGTTAGTGATGTCAATGAATGGCAAATGAGAGCATTCCGTGGTCACCAAATTAAAATGATCGACTTGGACGCAGAACTCGTTGGTAGATTTGATAGAAACTCCCAGTACATATCAGTTTTATTAAAGTCAAAAATGATTTTGTATACATTTGAAAATAGACATTAAAATAACGTACTCTTCATTACACACTACTCTCTCGTATCTCAGTGGTAGGTTTAGACCAGGGGTGTCGGTGCCGCATACAATCTAATTAGATGTCAAGTGGGCGGACCAGTACAATCATAACATAATTAACTATAAACAAATCCTATAATATTTTCCCCTATGTTTTCATGCAAATAAGTACACATATATTAGATATTTTGTATGTATTCATATGTATTATATATTGTATAATTTTGCAAAAATATCCTCGACATAAAGTGTTTGTGATTTTTTTTTTTTTTTTCAAAATTCATCAAGCAGGCCAGACCGAACACCCCACCGTGCCCGTTTTGGCCCGTGGGCCGTATGTTTGACACCCCTGGCTTAGATTTTGAAACAGACAATTTTAGATGTTTGAAATGCAGCTGCAGACAGAAGCTAGCCAGCGTAGCTTAGCACAACATGCATAAAAATATATAGACGCTACCGTGTATAGTTTATATATATATATATATATATTTATATTTAAAATGGCCATAGTTATGAATGTGAATAGTTGTTTGTGGGATATGGGATGAACTGGTGAACCGTTCATGGTGTATCCAACCCTCGCCCAATGACAGCTGGGCTTTGCCCCAGCCCCCTACCTCCATGACCCTACAAAGGATTAAGCTGTAGATGGATGGATGAATGGATAACACATTATAGCTTTTTCATTAAAAATCAAATTATATTTACATGAAAAATAACCTTTTTCAACTTATATTTGAAACTAGTTTTATTTGACCATGTGTTTCAACTCTCAAATATGTACTATGCTTAAGTCAATGGAAACATCAAGTTTTTATCCAGACCTAAAATGAAATCTGTCAAAAGTATTGAAGTTTTGCAACACTGTTTCTAGCTCTAGCTCCACCTGTTTTTTTTTCTCTTTCCCCTAAACTGAAAGAACTTTGGAAAGGAGTTCAACTTCAGTTCGTAGACAAGGCAAAGAACCAGCATGAGGACTGGTTCAAAAGAAATTCCCCAGAATTCTACAAAGACAGAGTTATCTGATGGAAGCATTGCTTACGGACATTTTTAGGGTTTAATATAGGATGTGTAGAGAAATATTGGCTTTACTCTTTCAACGTTTGGACTTACTGTTTATTGAAGTGTTATTTCACTCTTTGTTTAGTTAAAACTAATGCTACGTAAAATGGATCTAAAATA